CGCCTCCCGTGTGCTGGGGCCGGCCCAGGTTGTCGGTGGGTGCACACAAATGCCCCGGCGGGCGCCATGGCGCCCGCGGGCACCGTGTTGGGGACCACTGGTATAAGACAAAGCATACGCTATTCATTACTCTACATAGCAGCTTTAAATTGCCCCATATATATGATGACTATATAGTTGCAGTGAATTCATAATTTTGCTTGAGTATTAAAGAAAATAACTTTCTATTGAATATTCTATTATTCACAAATGCCCCGGCGGGCGCCATGGCGCCCGCGGGCACCGTGTTGGGGACCACTGGTATAAGACAAAGCATACGCTATTCATTACTCTACATAGCAGCTTTAAATTGCCCCATATATATGATGACTATATAGTTGCAGTGAATTCATAATTTTGCTTGAGTATTAAAGAAAATAACTTTCTATTGAATATTCTATTATTACTAGCTTCATTTTAAGTGATCGATTGGTGATTTAATTTGAAATTTTACTTGAATTAGTGCACAAACATTTCTACACACAGTAACACTACACAGGAATTAACTCTGTCTGCTCTGAGTTATAAATTTGTAAAAGGACAGAACACAGGTGTGCTGCATGCAAAGAAAGGTTTTTCTGAAATTTGTAATACCCGTCCGAGTTTTAGCCACGAGAATCTTACTTAAAAAGAGTGGCTGGGCTGAGTTAGCACCCGGAAACTACTGTTCATGTATGATCTAGCTGTCTCTCTCTTGAAAAATGCTAGAAAACCTTAAGCAGTTGCAGGAGAAAAGGGATCTGACAGTATCTTTTGCTTACTGATCACTTCTTTTTTCCTATGTCTCCTGCATTAAAAATTATACTATTATTGAATTGGACCAAGTGATTTCTTTTTCTGCTGTGCTGTGAGGAATACTGTTGGTATCTTTTAGTGAATTGGTTTTGATTCAGGTCACAATGGTACAGATTTAAATAAAATATCAGGGTTTTGTATGTAACAATTGCTTTCTGGGATAATAATTTTAAAGAATGCTTATTCTAAAAATGTTGCAGTAACGGGTATGGTTCATTTAAAATCAGACCTGTAGTATTGCAAAATATAATTGAATTGTTTTATAGCTTCCCATCTCTACAATACTGATACCAAACTTTAAAGCCAAGAGATACTTGAATGTCTTTTTCTTTCTCTTTAGATTATCAGCGTCTAATGACAGTAGCTGAGGGAATCACCACACTGTTGTTCCCATTTCAGTGGCAACATGTATATGTTCCCATCCTTCCTGCCTCCCTCCTGCATTTTCTTGATGCTCCTGTCCCTTACCTGATGGGTCTTCAGTCCAAAGAGGGAACTGACCGTTCAAAACTAGAACTTCCTCAAGAGGTAACTACTGCATGGTATTATCAACTTTTTGTCTTTTACTAACCCAGCTGAAAATACTGTCATTATTCACTCTAGTCCCCAGTGGAAAGCTGACACATCATAAACAACTGCCCAAAGTAACTTTGGCAAAAGGTAAATGTTTGCTTTGGAAATGCTCTGGGCTGTAATCTTGCAGGACAAAATTAAGAAATGTTATGGGAAAGCCTGTTATCCTTTAACTACCAAGCTCTTTTCTTGTCTTAGTTCCGCCAGAGAGAGACTTACTGAATGAAGTAACAAGTCAGTGAACACAATAGAAAATAAAGTTTTAACAATGTTTTCTCCACCGGCTTGTGTTAATGGAGAGAGTAGGAAAAAAAGGGGCTTGTACCTCTGAAGCTCAGAAGGGTCCTCATCTTGTCTGCTTCACATGCCTCCCCTACTTTCTTACCCTTTGTCAAGGTCACAGTCCTTGTTGGTAGTCCATTGGGGGCAGTGTATTGCAAGGGTTGCTATTCAGTGGTATGAAGCTTCTGTGTTTGGTTTTACCCCACAAGATGGAATGTGCTAGCTGTCGTCTCTGTACTCCGAGATTCTACCTGCTCAAGGATGAGCTTTTAGGAATTGAGGCTGGGTCTGCTTCTGATCCACCAGCCTGGCCTTTAAATCTACTACATATTTGATTGAGTTTGTTTCTGTTCAAGAAGTCTTCCTAAGTGATAAGAGCTAGGACCACCAAATTCAATATACAGCTTTCTCTTATCTGAACTTAAAACATTCTAAGAGTTTGGTTGTACCAGGAAAACAGGATGTGCCTGGAATGGGATTGTTTCTCATAAAACCAAACAGAAAAGAGACAATCACCAGGCAGGTGAAAGGGCCCCCAAGCCTCCCATCCCCAAGCACCCTTTATTTAGGGTGAAGTGGACTGAAGCCCGCCCCCCTCCCTGCCCCCCCCCATAGGAACATTGCTGGCTGTTCCCCTCTGTCAGGGAGTGAAAGGAAAGTGAAAAGTTTGCTGCATTCCTAATTTCGGCTAGGGAATACAGGGGCAGGTGAAGCTGGACTTGCCGCAGCCAGGTGATACGCACCCCTCCCCCACTGTGCCCACTGGAGCTGCAGCAGCCATGAAGGGGCACTCCTCACCTAGACCCAAGCTGCTGGTATGAGAGAGGGCTCTCTCCATGCCAGCCTGCATCCTGAACCCCTCATCCCCAGTCTCACCCCAGAGCAATGATTAAATTGAAGCAAGCATGTTTTCATTCCCCCCTTTATCTCCCCCTCTCCCCTCCCCCCAAAAAAATTGAGTTAAGGACCTGAGCAATGTTGAGTAAATCTTCTAGTGAGTTATGTTTAAGTTGGTTGTAATATCGTTGTTTATTATTGTGCTTGTAAATTGTGTTTTTGAGCTCAGGTCTCTGCCTGAATACGTGTCAGAGTACTTTGTATAAAACATTTTAATGAATTTAGTAACTGCGACAGGTGCTGGGATTACAGCTCTGTAGACTGAAGATCACTCTATGTAAGTGGCTCTGCCTCTCCTCCTCCCCCTGTTTTTGAATTGCCTTGGGTCACCAAATCTTTCTGAAATGGAAAAATGGATCCCCATCTGGAAAAGGTTGGGAACCGCTGCTGTAGATAGTCATAGTAAGCGCCATGCCAGGTTCCCCAGGTTTTGAGCAAAGAACCTATTCCTGTGTTGGATGGATATGCTCAATGTGTTCACTGCCTTAGCAAGGCACATGTCTCACATAAATGCCCTCACTGCGCTAAACTAAAAGTGAGAGCACATTGTGACAGAGACCTATTCCTATTCTTAGGCCCTGGTGACTTGCAGACATCTAACTTTTCTAGGTGATTTTTAACTTGTTCTTTTTTTATTTTATCTTCTAAACCTACCCCCTTCCCACTAGCATTCACTACAATTCTAGATTGTCTTTATAGCAAATCGCGATAAGGTCCAAGCTTTCTCAGCCCAGCCACTCTCACTGGATTTGGCATTGGCACAGCTTCTCCCTGGTCCTCTAGAACATATATTCTCAAAGCACTACGCACTTTCCCAAGGACCTTTCTCTATCCTCAAACTCTCTAAGGCTGTCCTGTCTATTGCATTCATGCCAGATCCAAAACCTTTTCCTCCTTGAACAGATACAGCTTTGTAATCACCTAATGTGGAGCACCCAAGGGGACATCTCGAAGAAGAGTAGGTTACTCACCTGTGCAGTAACTTACATTCTTTGAGATGAGTGTCCCAGTGAATGCTCCTATACCCACCCTCCCTCCCCTCTACTTCAGAGTGCTGATTTCCTCAACTGGCTACAAGCTTCCAAGGTAGAGAAGGAACCGGAGGGGGAGGAGGGCAGGGCATAGTGGGTCATGCATGTGCAATTCCTGAGCAGTAGGAGTGTGCAGCAAGAGGCACGTGCATGTGCGGCCCCAAAGACACTGCTCAGAAGACTCTAGATAAAGGTCTCAGTGGTGGTGCACTGACCTAGTGTGGAGCACCCACGAGGACACTCATCTTCATCATCAATTACTGCACTCCTTGCATGCCTCTTTTCTGACAGTAAGAGGATAGTTTAGTCTCTGTACTTGCTCAGTCCTTGGTCTCTGAGATTGCTAACTACAGGTTGAATCTCTGTGGTCTGGGACTCTCTCGTCTGGCAACATTCATGGTCTGGCAGGACCACGGATTTTGCCAGACCAGAGAACCCAGGGGGAGGCAGGAAGCCAAAAGCCTTGTGTCTCAAGGCTGGCTGCAGAGTAGCAGCCCAGATCAGCAGAGCCCCAGCAGCCTTGGTTTTGTAGAACTGTGCAGCCCCGGAACTGCAGAATTCAAGGAATCCGGAGGCAGTGGAGCCCCAGGAGCCCAGAAGCTTCAGTGACTCAAGCGACCCTGGGGCAGTAGAGCCCTAAAGTACTACACAGCCTTGGGGCAGCAGATCTCTGGCTGCCTCATGGCAGCGGAGCCTTTTTACAGCCCCATCCACTCTGAGGCAGCAGAGCTCCAGTGGCTCTGGAGCTGTCTCCGCAGAACCAGGCCAGCGGAACCCCGGCGGCCTGGGACAATGGAGCCCCCTACCCCAGGAGTGGAGATCTGAATGCCCTGGAGGTGCAAAGCCCAATCAGCCCCCGCAGATGTGGGAAAGAAGGGAAACCAGACCAGCCAGCAGCGGAGCTGGGTGGGGAGCAAAGTGGGATCTAATGATGCACCTTGGATTCCATCAGCATAGCAGCAGGAGTTGACCTCCCCTAGTCTAGAAAAATCCCCTGTTCTGGATCAGGGATGTCCAACCCGTAGTGAGTTCTTCATTGGTAATTATGGTAGGGATGGAGTGTCGGAGTAAGAATTGGACTGAGACCACTAAACTCCTTTCAGATAAGCTACTGGACATTGTGACTTTGGGTTAATACCAGCCTGAGCCATATTTGAGATGGTGATCTAGAAGTGAACGGCTGAAGGTTAAAGAGCCTGTCTTCTGAACTATTGATATGCAGAATATGGTTTTGCAGTCAGGCTCGAGGCTCACCCTCACCCCCTCCTTTCTGCATCTGGGAACCTATGCTGATGCTCAAGCCCCATGGAGTCCCCCAGTCCAACCATGAGGTTGGAGCACCAGCACCGGGTTCCCACTGGAACTGGATCTAGCTCGCAGTGAGAGCTAGCAGCTCTGTACACTGCCACTTCCTTTTCTCCCTGTACGCAGTGAGGAAACTGCTCACCTGGAGGCTTTCTCCGCTGCTCCCACTGGGCAGAATCTCAGCCAGTGGGAGAAGTGGGAGGCAGTGACTAGAAGCTACAGGGGGCATGGAGGCAGGTGAACACCCGTAGTATCTCCCTCCATGCCCAATCCCCACTCCCCCATCGCCCTCACAGACCCCTCTTCCACCAAGATCCCGCACCCCAGCCTGCTCCTGCACTCACTGTTGTGGCCAACCTCTTCCTTTTGTCCCCGTTTT